GATGTCTGTGGAATGCCCGCATTAGGTACCAGCTCTGCACGCTCTGCATGGAAACGAGTATGGGGAGACGTGTATGGAAGGTTCTCGTCCGCCGATGTCGCACGCGGGTCCTTCTGTGTTAGGTAGATGTGGTAGTACCAAAGGGCGGGAGCACCGGGTGCTGCCGTCCTATCGATGGCGTAATGTGACGGGAATAATGCTTACACACATGCCCCTCTTTGCCGATGGCCAATTGATGCGCCCTCGCCAGACGCTCGAAGAAGCCGGCCAGGCGTTCCTCGCTGACGTCGGGCAGGTCGTCGGCGCTGCTCCAGCGCCGCTTCCAGGAATGCCCGACGACCGTCTGCCCCGGTTTCACGATGTGGGCGATTGCGAAGGAGAGTGGATGTCCTGTTGTGTGTGGCGATTCGGTCTTCTGGTCAACTCGGTTCGAAGTCGGGGTGCTTTCAGCTCGCAAACCAACGATCCCATCGCATTACTTGTGGAGGAAATGAATACTATCAAAACAACGCGAGACTCGGCGAAGTCATACTTTCTCGCTGAGCTTGGGCCAATTTGACATACCATTAGCATTCCGCACCACCGGCACCCTGCTCTCGGGACGGTAATGCGATGGCTTTCCGAGGAAGTTCTCGAAGCCTCGCTGCAGCCACGTTCGACCGCCGTCCGTGTGCGGGAATGTCGACTCAGCCGGTCCGTTGAACGCCTCCCAGAAAATGGTGATCAGGTCCGGGATGTCGTTCGGCGTTGCTAGGCTCACTTTGATTGGCGCTGCCTTGCCTTCGCCGTTTGTGGCCATCATTATGTTATCACGGCAGGGTATCTACCTCTCGCGCCGCGGCTTGGCGCAATCTGCCCTTGCTGATGCTCGGTTGGCTCGAATAGCGACGACTCAGTCTGTGATAGATGCTACTACTGTGGCATCGAAGGGAGTGAATATTCGATATGCTCAATGTGCCTTGAAAGTAAGGCCTTGGGATGGATTCTAGGCTGGACGACGTAGATGTGAGCCTGGCTGCAGATACGACCTCCGTATACCGCTGCGAATGAGCGAGCATCGAGCATACAGGAGCTATCAATAGGCACTAAGCGCCGAATGGTTCCCGTTCCGACCGTGCGGTCGGCGGGGAGTGCGTCATTCATGTAAATATGTCATTCGTTCATGCTGTGATGTAATAAGACATACAAATCAAATGAATCGTAAAAATCTATGACATGTCAATGAATCAATAGGATCCGGGATTAGGGGCTACCTACATCTCTATGCTCTTCGGCCGTGGGGTACCTATTTGAACACGCACGCTGTAAATTGTCTCAATGCATGGTTCTTTGAAGAGGCACCCCCATTGAATTGCTAACCGGGACGATTCATTCGCCCGTCCTTCTAACATATCAGGCTCATGTTGATTACATAGGCGGTGGTTCTAGCGAATACCCACAGTGCATTCAACCCTATGGCCCGAGGTTTTCTAACCTACCTAGGTACAGAATTCTATCGTCTAAACTGAACGTTGGTTTTGCAGTGCCCTCTTATCTTGGATCGAAAAACCTCCGGCTATGCTTAAACTAAAGCAACTATAGCAAAGTTTGCAGAAAAGATATTGGGAACTTAATGTAACTAGATAAAATTCCTTGAACAGATCAGCCTGGTAAACTGAACTGAACCTGTTAATCAAGGAGACTTGCATAATCATGACAATACTCGAGCTACGGCAATTGTACCAAGGACAGTGTATAAGATTACCCCTCACAACGGATTCTTACCTCGTGGACAAGGCTTTCTTTTTGCACCTCTCACTCTTGATAGCCCCGACTCACAGGCCGTAGTCGATGTTGCTCGCTTATGGACGCCTCATCAAATGTGCCTTACGAGAGGCTATATTTGAAGGCTACAAGCTATTGGAGGGACAGGAGGCCTCTCTTTGCACCCCTTCCCGCCCCCCAAATCCCCAATTTAGGTCGAAACATCAGAAATAAGGTAAAATGACGAGTTAGACGGGTTGAGTAACTACGAGTTTTCCTATGCGAATAAACCCAATCTACTCACGCTATCGGAATCAGCGCACATTTCGCCCGACGCATATAGGGCATATTTTCTAGAGAATTCTCTTGACAGAGAGACTTTAAGCATCATCGCCCTCTTGGACTATAAAAAGGCAATTGAATAGATATCATTCGAATCTAGAGGACCCAATGGAACATGACGAGAATGCCGTCTATATTGATGAACGTTACAGGACCTTGACACAGCCGGAACCGCCATATCAGAGGAAAACTTTCAGTTTTGAGAAACCCCACACGTGTTGTCACTGCCAGAATATTTTGATCACTTTCGCCGCCGGAGACCATTTGTGTCTAGACTGCTCTTGGAAGGGCGTCGAACAGCTTGCTACTGATGGGTGGCATCGTCTTTGTGGCCAGTGCAGCAAGCCCTACAAGGGGTACGATGGGACTTGCTCAGCTGCAGCACTAGATTACACCCTGACCGAGGCCATTGCAGCGTCTAAGGAAGGCTGTGCTCTATACGAGTTGTTCGTTGATGCCGTTGTCATGAAGCGAAAGGACTCGCGGGTGAGCAGGATCCTCCGTTCAGCTGCCTCTAAGTTCCGCCTTTGGGGGATACACTATAAGTCAAAATCGGGTACTAATTATTGGTTCAACCTCATTCTGAGCCTGATATCGGCTGACAACTCAACGACTGATATTACGTCGGAAACCTTATGTGGCGACCTAAACGCTCTGGTAGCCTGGACGACGGCGAGCGATCCTGCCGCGAAGTATATCTCATGTCGCCCGTATGAGCGGGACGTAAAATCTAATAGGTCTATGGAATTCTCTCTCGACTGTTTTCGGGAGTGCTTGGAAAATCACTCCAGCTGTGCCTCCATACGGACAGACAAGGCCGACTGCGAACGTCGCGCCTTGGGTTTAAAGAATACCTTCGCGGAGACTGTCGATATCGTCCATGTTCCTTCACGACTCATCTACGTAGGCTCGGAAACTGAGCAGTCTCAGGTAGTGCTAGTCGAAATCAAAGAGGCTCCTGACGACATGAAGGCAGATGTGTGCAGACTTGGCTTCGCTACACTTTCATATTGTTGGGGCGGTGATCAACCCCTCAGACTGACCAAGGCAAGCTATCAGGATCTTAAAACTGGAGTCCTTGTATCCAAGCTGCCTCAGACGCTCCAGGACGCTGTTTGGGTAATACGCAAGTTAGAGATTAAGTACCTCTGGATTGACGCGCTGTGTATCTACCAGGATAGCGACGAGGACAAGACAAGTGAGCTAGCGCGGATGGCGACCTACTATAGCCGCGCGATAGTCACCATTTGCGCCGCCGCGGCATCTAGGTCGACCGAAGGCTTCCTCCACGCCCGCTGGCCGTCGCCGTATGAGTTCGGGCCGGTCCGTCTTCGGCTCCGGGATGGCGGCGGTGAAGCAGGCAACGTGTACATGCTGCAGGAAGCGAAAGCGAAAGAACCGACGGTGGCGCGGGCGTGGACGTTGCAGGAATCGCTGCTCTCACGACGAATCCTCATCTTTTCGCGGCGGCAGCTGTACTGGTGCTGCGTCGACTCGTTCGGAGGATGCGGCGGCCAGCACGTCGGCCTGACTAAGCTCATATCCGGTTATATCGACAAAGTAGTCGACGACGTCCGGACGATGGGGCCGCTCCTTGATGGACCGCTTAGGGGGAAGTGGAAGATGATCGTTGAACAGTATACCCAGCGTCGACTTAGTTTCGCGGCCGACAAGCTCTTGGCTGTGTCGGCGGTCGCTGAACACCTTTCGCGGGTGTATTGGAAGCACGAACAGGACAGCATTTATCTCGCCGGGCTGTTCGTGAAAGCTATAGACCCGTCCTCGTGGCTCGAGCAGCTACTGTGGTACTCGGTGGGGTGGCGGATCGAGACGAGAAGGCCGATTCCGTACCGAAGCCCCTCGTGGTCGTGGGCGGCCGTCGACGGTCCCGTGCGGTTTGAGTACATGAGCCAGGACTACGCCATGAATATGGCCACTGTCGTTAATGTTTCGATTGACCTCGTCGTCCCGAACGCGCGGTTCGGCAGCGTCCGCGGCGGTTTACTCACCCTAGAGTCCAAGATGTGCCCAGTGGTCGATTATATGCGCCTAGCCCCTGAATACCGGATCAGGGGTGATTTCTGGGACGATATATACATAGATGACATGGCTGATGAAATTGTATTCATCCCGGACACTAAGGAAGACGGTGCTGCTATTGAGGCTATTCCCACGGGCGTCGATCCAGGCCGACAGATATTCCTCGTCAATCTAGTAAGGAGTTCTCGGAGTCATTTTCTTCTTATTTCGGCTACTTTTCAAGCAGAAAATTTCCTTTTGGGGCTAATACAGTGTCTAGAAGCTTCTAAAGTCCTCCTAAATCTACTCAGAATAGTGATAACTGACTCCGAGTGCTCTAGTGCTTCGCGGACTACAAGGTCAACGATTTCTTTAGCATTAAGACCATGGGCCTAGTGGTGGCCCCTTCTGACGCCGCCCAAGAAACCTTTACGCGCGTCGGCATATTTCGCATCGTGAGAGACGAACGTATGACAGCGAATTTCGATCTGTATGGCTTCTTTTCTTCTTATCCGTCTCGCTTTCTTCGACTCGTATGATCTAGACGAAGATTTGGTCCGTGTAGGGCTGCGTTCTGAAGGGCGTTTAGTGCGTGCGCGGTTGAACGTGGTCCACTCGTGAAGAGCGTCTGGTCACGCAGCATCGGAGGTCACAGTAAACCTATAGCCTACAAGTAGTAATCACGCCTATCCCACCCGATGTGGTCATGAAGGCATTAATGTATTTCTTTGATACAACGGTCTCCAATACACATTAATTAAATGATCACAAGTAAAGAGGGGCATGGATGAACCCCTCCCACCCCCCAAAACGCTTAGACAGGTCATACCCAAACAAACATTGTCTTCCGCACAATATGAATTATAATAAATCACCAACTTTTCAACACATTGCCTGCCCGGCTAGCTCAATCGGTAGAGCGTGAGACTCTTAATCTCAAGGTTGCGGGTGAGTTCCACATTTGTGTGAAAAAAATTATCGTGTATGCTGTAATATATCGCTAACCCTACCCTAGGTTCGACCCCCGCGTTGGGCTCAATTCCCGATGCCTCCCGGATTACTGGGAGTAGCAACCAGCTTTTTCTTTTTTCTTATGTAATTTCTTTTTAAACTGTAACGTTTCCCTCTTTTTCTCAATCAATTTCCCCTCCCACTCTTTGAAATGGTTTGAGATTGACTGGTTACATCTCTTTTCATCGTGGTTGAATATACAGTGCGAAATCGCCTCGCTATTTCATGATCTACACTAGGTAGATGTGGTGGCTGTCCCCTTAGATAAGTGTAGTATATTTAGTAGTCTTAGCCCTGGGCGACCCGGACTGCCGGTAGCCAAATACCACACTACCAACGGTAGTTGTTAGGCAAGCTGAGAAAATAAGCGCTGTCAGTTCCGGTTAGGTCTTCTCATTGTCAGCTCAAATGATGGCTGACCATGTGTTGTGGCGTCCGGTCGGGTGTCAATCAATATTGAATACAAAATAGGCAAGGATATCGTTATCTAATCACGCTTGCTTCCCCGACGACAGCTGCAGCTGCAAGAGAACCTCAATCCACTAACCGAGTCGTTGTTTCTGCTATCTCAAATCATCTGACGTTATAATGGGAAAATGTCAGCTCAGTGAGCTATCGTTCGAGAGCTGTTGGTTTCGCAAACAGCACGCCCTAACTCTCTTGGGCAGGGAGCGGCGCCAAAGTGAACCGGTAGTGGATAAGCCATAAGCCTTTGGTCACGCCCACTGATAGCCGCCGCTGCCGCCTCAAAGGTGTATCATTCATTGTACAATGCCTAGATGCCGCCTAGACAGAGGCTAGAGATGTCGGGCAGCTAGTTTGATCAGTGCAAGAACAGTAATAAGAGGCCAGCAAACAAGGCAGAGACTGGAACAGGGGCGATGAGGTAATGTGGGAATTCTGACAATTCCCATCGTGAGCCATACTGTTAGTGTGGGTTAGCGAGAGACACCAACTCTCCCCGCCGTCTGATGTAGGTATCTAATGTTACATGTACGCATGTGTCCGTAATAGATACTACGTGCTGTACCTCTTCGGTAGTTGGTGTCTGCTGTATGTACAGTACTCTACTATTTATGATACAGTACATACTCCATATTGATCATGCCCCCCAAATCAGATTCAACCGGAGTTCCTCCAGTCAGAGATAGGTAGCTGCTCATATCTCACATCTCACCATGATCCGCACATAATAGTGTCCTTATCTGGGGATGCTGCCAGTCTTTGCCTTCCCCACTTCCATATCCCCGTTCGGCTGAGAAACGACGCCTGTTCGGCTCAAACGAACCTTTGTCTCCGGTGTTCCAACGTTAGCCGATAGTGTAGGCACAAAGGTGGCAGCTAGCTAATCCGACGGCGGCCAGGCCTACACTATATTAGCATCAGCAGTGGTAGGCGCGCAGACGGCGCGAGATAGGCTCCCATGGCCGAGCTAGCACTCCGCGAACACCTCTTGATCGGGGTAGCGGTACTCCTAGCAGCCGCTTGGGCAGTACAGCAACTCTTCTTCACCATTCGGTATCCGTCAAATCTCCCCAGGATTGGCGGTAAGTCTCGTTTCAGTCTGCGAACACGATGGAGGTATCACACAGATGCTCGCGGACTGTATAAGGAGGTCTATGAAAATGTGCGTGCTGGCGAGATAAAAAATTGCTACAAGTGATGGATCATATTCTAGTCGCTAGCTCGTTTGCTCACGATAATGAATTGTTTAGTACTCGAAAGAGGGAAAGACCGTGCTGGTTCCCGGACTCGCATTCCACGACGATGTTATCCTGCCCCCGAGTGCTTTGCGCTGGCTTCAGCGCCAGCCTGAGCGGCTCGTGAGTGCTGCTGCCGCGCAGACGGAAACTATTCAACCGTTATATGGCTTCGGACACGACAAGTTTGCCGCCGACCCCTGGGCAGGGCTGCTGGTAAAGACCGGTCTCAACGCGGTTTTGGAGAACGTTTGTGCGGCTATGAACGATGAGTTGGGTCTTGCAATCGATTCTCACTTTGGAACTGATACAAAGGCATGGAAGGAGGTCGACTTGATGCCCACAATTCGCATGATTGTAGCTCAAGCTGCTACTCGCTTCACTCTAGGGGGATCGCCCGTCGGGCGCAAATTATGTGAGTCTTGCAAAATATTCTGTTTTGTACGACGCAGGAACGGGGTGTCCACTAAGACTACCTACAGGCCAAAATAAGGAGTATCTAAAAGCATGTCTCGATATTGCGGACGCCCTTGTAATCAACGCAGGGCTAGGTGGCGCAAGCCCAAAACTTCTACGACCAATTCTGGGTCGTCTTGGTGGCCTAGCTGCTAGGCGACAGATTAAAGACCTCGAGAAGTACTTCGAGCCGGTGTACCGAGAGAGATTACGGATGCTAGAAGAGGAGGCCGCGAATCCAGGCATGGAAACCCCAGAGGATCATCTTCAGATAATGTTACGTTTCGGGCTGAAAGAGCGCCGAGAGGAAGCTCTCAGTGTACACGACATGACGAAGAGGCTATGCATTGCCAACTTCGGCTCGATGCACCAGACTAGCATTCAAGTTGTAAACATGCTCCTGAACATAATAGATTCGGACGCCGAATTCGATACCATCGCGACATTGCGTGACGAGGTTACGCGGATTATTGGCGATGACAAGACAACTGCCTGGAACAAGACTAGGGTAGCTGCTATGACGCGAGCCGACAGCGTAGCACGCGAGACGCTCCGACTGCACTCCTTCTCATCACGCGGCGTAGCGCGCCAGATCATCGGCGACGGACTCGTGACAGAAGACGGGATCGCTCTTCCTAAGGGCTGCACAGTGTCATTCATTGCGTACTGGACGCAGACAGACGGCGACGTCTTCGACAACCCATTCAAATACGACCCGTTTCGTTTCTCACGCGCTCGCGAGGCAGAGGCAGACGTGCAGGGGAAGCCGGGGCTCGCGAGTCTGAGTTTCGTGTCTACGGGGACGCAGAACCTGGCATTTAGCCATGGCAAGCACGCCTGTCCTGGCCGGTTTCTCGTGGACTTCGAGCTCAAAATGATTATCGCGTACGTCCTGATGAACTACGACGTCGAGTTTCCGCCGGAGTACAAGGGTAAGAGACCTCAGAATCATTGGCTTACGGATGCATGCTTTCCACCGGGGGACGTCAGGATCAGAGTTAGGAGAAAAGAATGCAAGGTATAGAATATGGGGGCCGGGGATGGGAACAGCGGAGGTATGTCTTGGATAGATCTCGCGGGAAATCAATAAAGCTGGCCTAAGAAGATTTAGAGTTTCTACCGCACAAGTACTTTCTACGCCCATCTGTCTAGTCGATGTAGATAGTAGGAGGCCTCAATCGCTGTGTATGCAATTTAAACGGCACGGGAACAAATAGACGAGCAATTATATGAAGTTGCCTAAGAATTTATTGCTTAAATGTTTGCCTAGAGAGTCTGCTGTATGAGCCTGCATCTTCCATGCCATATGCTCATCGTCTCGAACATGACATGAGACGACATTAAGGAGAAGTGACGATGTGCTAGGGGCTCGGTCCAGCCTGACATTGAACACACATGGATTCCACGCCGATGCCGGATGCTAGCACAAAAGTTTGGGTTGCCATACTATGCTGAAGCTTGAATTATGCCTGGGCCATGAGCTCAGCCATGAGTAAGCCATTAGTTAATTGAGTTGTGCTCTAAGCCAGGCAGACCATCATCCTAATTGAAGCCAGACTGAACCCACCAAACCCATAATACATACTTTGTCACAGCCCCATTAACCATAAGTCTGCGCAGGGGCGGATACTAAACTTCGGGCCCTTGCTGTTGCTCACCTCTTGCGGAATAAGGGGCAGCGGTGTCGCTATTGGTCGATCACCGAGACTAAACTTCACCACGACCTTGATGTGAGCTGCCCTGCATGGGGCTACTACTTAGGACGAACTTTTAATTCTGGTACCTGGCTGATGGAAGTGCAGGATAAGGCGATATGCAGGTAGTCCATTATGTGTTCTTGGCTGCTGCCATCGAATCCCGTCGCTTGTTGCACTCTGGGTAGGGCTTCCTATCGGCGATAGTTTGGAGGGGTCGTGCTAGTCAAGTACTGATGTTGCTATGATTCTTCCTTATCGCTGTGGGAGTTTTGCTCATTGCTATGAGAAAGGTGCTGAATTGTTGCGTATAAGTAATTTCTGCATTGTTCTGCGGATATTTAGAGAGCGAAATTTCATGCTATGGTTAGGCCAAGCGGATAGATACAAGGCAGCGTAATCGGTTAGTCGGGAAACAGAATGATTTGAATGCCAGCTCAGCTGCGGGTTCAGCTGAAAGCAGCAATCTAACAACTATCGCAACTGAGCCATTCGTGTATTTAATTAGATTTTTGAATGACACAATAGGTATGGCCCCTGGTTGTAAAGGAAAATCAAAATAGCTGAAGGCAGTTACATAAAGATATAGCTTAATATGTATAGCAGTAAGGCGCTTTGTATTATAATTTATTAAATGAAGGTCGATTCTATAGGTAGCCATATTGTACACTAGCTACGATACAGGTCTATGTATATACCCGTCTAAATTAACCCTTTATTTGTGAAAGCTCAACCCATGAGCACCCTTGGATGTTTGAAATGCTACAATTAACCCCTTTAGACCAATACGGTGATTAGGACGCCAACTAGGACGACCCTGTACGCCAATCGAGCCGTAAGCACTTAGCGGTGTTCGTGAATACACTCATTATATTGTAGAGCTCTCAAAACCCGAGCCAACCTTACCTACCAGGCACAATAGTAGCGGCGAGTTTGCTCTGTTGCTTTTCCCAGCGGCTTCCATCGAGCCGATGTTCGCTCTCCAGGCGACGAGTCAGGTCCACATTCTTGATGAAGATGAGACATAACACAAGAGCAATGACCGAGATGCCGACATAGAAAGCATAGAGCCCTGTGAATCCGAACTTGTAGGCCTCTATCACGCTA